TTCTGGGGCCAGCTTCGTGCGAAAGGAGCTTGGCTTGGGCTGCCCAACTCCCCCGCAGCATGGCGACAGAGCGAGCGGGCAGGAGACGGGCGTGCGCATCCGTGCTCGGCGTGATTTTGCGCTTAACGAAGTTAATCCTGGAAGTATCTGCTGCTGGTGAAGCTCTCTTTGGATGCAAGTTAGCCACAGAAGCCTGAGAAACAGAATCTGTGGCACTTGAGAAGACAGGAGTGTGGAAAAGATAGGAGAGATGAGGAGGAGAATGTGCTATAAAAGTAATGACTGCCATGAAGAAGAGATCATAAATTTCCTGCCGGACAGTCTTTTAACCTATCTGTTCGTCTGCCTTCTGCTACAAGTGAACAAAATAACATTTATTAGTTACTGTTTGCAAATTGAGTCAAGATCTAAGCTTTTGTCTCTATTCTAATCGTTTAATGTACCCGTTGTTTTTCTACAGCTATAACTTGAAGGAATAACATAAATTATGGTTTTATTTTAGGCAGAGAGGAAAAAGTTTGTATGCCTCTGTGGAGGTGTGAGTTTGCCTTCACTGTTGAGGTACATATTTATGAAATACTTAATAGAGGCAGGCTAAACTAAATGAAGGTCTGAATTCAGAATGTGCTAGTTAAGCTGAAACCCAAAGTCATGTTGAAATGAATGAAGCTAGAGTAAATTTAGCTGCTCTTCTGAAAAAGAATGCTCACAGAAGAGATTTGGTATGCTTTGACATTTCACATTCATTTAATTTGATTTATTTAGTGGGCTGATCACATAAGCTCAAAGTTCAAATTTTGGGATTACTTATTAACTCTCTTTAATTTGACCTTTACTTATTTGCAGTATTTTTGTTACATGGTTAGAAGTTTTCATTTTTCCCTTTTTTTGTCCTGCAAGAAGCTTTAGTGCTCTCCTAACTGTTAGGAACATTTTACTGCTGTGTTCCAAACTGATCATGGAAGTCTTCTGTATTTCTTTTTTTATTTTTTAACCTTGCTTTGCTTTATAAACAAATCTTAGACAATATTATTATCCTACATAAAAAGATATTGGTTGACTTTTTGTGATGTGTAATGTCACAAATGTTCAGCCTGGGTTTGAGATTCTGTGTCATTCTCTGTTCTTATGGTTCATTACTGATTTCCAATGAAATTCCTATGGGTTTAATGTCTTGACCTAAATGATTTAAGACATTTGATTTCTTCTGTGCATTAGAACGTGTCCTGAGAGATTTTCGTAGGTATAAATAATGCTAGCTGAAATTCTCTGGGGTTTTTGAGTGGTAATTCATGGAAGAATACTTCATATTTGCATTTTCCTCAAAATTTTTTGTGTATTGGACTTGTAAAAACATGTATTGCTCTACCGAGGTCTGTAAAACTTAGGCCATCCTCAAAGACAAACCACTTTATCTGAGACTTGCTTCTCTTACACGTGTTCAGACATAAATAAGGGGATCACTACAATTGAAACAGCTTAAAATATGACTGACTTGCAGTGGAAAGGTTTTAGCAGGTCTACAGTGAGAACGTCTGTCTTCCTTCATGTACAAGTTTAGGAAATACATAAGGATTTACAGAAGTGTAGTTTCTCTAGTGGGTAGAAGTCCAGCCTAGAGGAGGAGCCTGAGAGGAGAATTTTGAACTCAAAAGGAAGGTCCAGCTGTACCACTCTGGCACTAATCACACGGGGAGCTGTTTAAGAAGTTATCTTCTCCAGCTTCTGGGACATCCCTTGCCTGATGGGATAGGTGCTACAAGTGAAAATTAAAAATAAATACATTTTAAAAAAAAAGTAAGAAAATATCTATGGGGAAACTATGGAAGTGAGAAAACAAAGCAGGCTGAAAATGCTCAGAGTAAGAAAAGTTCCAGGTAAAATGTTAGCAAGAGGAATGTTGCATGTTTCATTTGCTTTTTTGAAATTTTCCATCTGACTTTATAATAAGAATTGCTTCTAATAAAAGCTAGTACAAGCTGCCCTGAATCTTACAGATCTCAAATACATGTAGGATTATAAGATTGCTGTGAAAAGACTTAACAGGGTCTTAAATATGCTTATTTTAAAGCTGTACAGAATAACCACTGTGTTCTTCTCACAGTAACAGTATTAACAGAGCAAATTCTCTTAAGGAACAGTTACCTGTATGAGTGACCTTATTAATTTGCCCTGTAGTAATTTGCCTTAATTTCACATAGATCTGTGACAACATTAACCAGGGAGAAATAGACTCTATAGGAAATGTCAGGGGGAGGGAAGAGAATCAGCCACTTAAACTAGCTAGGATGCAACTTTTCCCCTTCAACTGATGGCTCTATTTCAGTACTTCGTATGAAAACTAGCTAGGATGCAACTTTTCCCCTTCAGCTGATGGCTCTATTTCAGTACTTCGCATGAGATGCTGTAATGCTGGCACCGTTTCTAAGGGGTCGTTAACACTGGCCTCCCCAGGAATAATAAAGAGGTGGTCAGAAACAAACACTAAATATGCTTGAAAAGCCACTAAGCTGTCATAGAAATGCATAACTATGAGTAAAGTACACATCTATGCTTTAGATTTCTATTTTTGTTTGAAGTAGAACTACTCCTTTTGCTCCTGTACCTTACCAGTCTCTAGATGAGTGCACAGGACCTAGCAATACTCTCAGCAGAACCTCTGGTGAGCTTCTGCCGTGTCACTCAGCATGTCGGGAGCAGAACAAAATGCTCCTGTAAATTGTATTTGCTGTTTAAAATATTTTCCAAGAAAAACAAAACTAACCTCAGTAAAAAACCCCACAGTTTAAGCCTGCAAATGTGTTACTGTATTTAAGTGAGCAACGTGTCACTTATGTCTGAAATACCAAGTTTGTTTCATTTTAGCCCGCAAATTCACAGACAAGCATGAATGGGTATCCGTTGAAAATGGCATTGGAACAGTAGGAATCAGCAATTTTGCACAGGTATTGATCCTTCCCCCCTTACCCAAGTCTGCAATATTTATTTATGCAGACCTGCTCTTGTCCTTGCTCTTTGGTCAGTTACTGGTTTTTATTGTTCTAATTGCATATGCTATGCGCTGAGCGCGAATTTTGGACTTGGATCTATCACATTATTTGTGAAATGAATGCTGCTTCAGCATTCTGATGAATTCTTAATCGCTTCAGATTGAGCCTACGGAGAGCTGAACTTGATGAGAAACTTAATGGTTCATCAGAATTTAGAACCTCCTTTATTACTTCAGTTCTTATAGGCCAGAGTTGTTTGTGGCTATGTGAAGAGGATATCGTGCACTTTTTAGGCCAAATTTCCCTTGAACGTGGATATGGTGCAATCCTTCTGCCAAAGAACAACTGTGGGTAGAAGTACAACATGGCATGCATTTCTTACTCTGGGATAGGAATTCCTTTGGATTATTTGTTTTGTTTTGTTCTCGTGCAAGTACTTGATTTGGAATAGTCACAGGCAAATTCAGGAGAGAGATTCACTCTACGGCAAACTTAGGAAAATCTAATGTGAGAAGCTGTCAAGGAAGCGGCATTAGTGTTTCTGAGGACAAGCAGCATTTCCCGTAATCTCATTTTTCTGTAAATAACACTCCTACTCTGCCAGATTCCTAGCCTGCTGTGAGATAGGGTACGTTGGTCAGTGAAGAGGCAGAAGCCTGTTCCGGGTGAGCCGATTCTTACGGTGATACGGCTCCTTATTAAGTCAGTAAGCACAAACTGTATGCTAGCGGCTCTCCAGTTGTCCGTGTCTCTGGGGAGGATTCACTGCCTTTTCTTTCAAATGGCACTGGAAGTAAATCCTCTGTGCTTTGTAACAAAAAGATAATCCCCTCTAATCATTGGGAACTTTGTCCTTTAAAACTGTTGTTACTCTAGCTGATGCTAAGATCAGCAGATGTTATTTCTCATTCTGCCTGAAGAAATCTGTATATAAACCTTGCAACTCAGCCTGAGGGTTATTAACACTAATAGATAAATAATAATTTGGCATTTGGGGCATGATAACAAAACAGTGTTTTCAAGTTAAATGTTTAAAAAGTGAAAAATATGCAGTCCTTAAAGAATGAGAACTAAATTTAGAGACAGATTACTTACATACAGTGATTCTAGAGTTACTGTATCAGATCTCTCCTATGTATAGTTTCTTTAATGTATGCTTTGATGGTTTTGTTTTTCTTTTAAGGAAGCATTAGGAGACGTTGTTTACTGTAGTCTTCCAGAAATTGGGACAAAATTGAATAAAAATGGTAAGTTTCAGCTCTGATTTCTAATAAAGTAATTATTCATGCCACTCTCCCTTTGCAAAGATGGTCATTAATACCATTATAAATCTTCTGGATGCAGTATAAATTCAGGTATTTCTACAAGACACAGCTTTAATTT